GGGTAAAGTGAGAGGTGTGAGGAACACATTAGATCTTTTCACTATAAGAATATTCCCTTAGGGGGCCAGGGATTATAGCTCACAGCCTAAGTGCCTGCCTGGCAAGCACAAGATCCTGAGTTTGACTCCTGGTAAAAAAAAAAAAAAAAAAAAATTTCCTTTAAATCTGTGGGACAATAATCTCCAACTACAATGTATATACAAAAACCAATCACTGCAGAGCCCTGGAAAATAGCTCAACAGCATTAGCACCTGCCTAGCAAGGGCAAGGACCTGAGTTCGATCCAAGGTTCCAGAAAAAAAAAAAAAAATCACTGCAAAGGCAAGAACAAGGATCCTGAATAGAGGCAACTAAATGCCAATAGTGACTCCACCATACAAGTTTAGGGTATTATGTTATGTTTCTATGTTTCAGTGTCTTCAGCTATAGTGAAGTAGTTCATCTTATCTCACAGAATACACAGAATCTGTTCAAAATATACCAGAGACTTAAATGTAACAAAACTGTAACACTTCCAACATATAGCATAAATTTTTCTTGTTGGGTTAGTAAAGATTTCTGCACAACACCAAAGCAAAATGAACAACAAAAAAAAAAACAAAACAATATACTTCATCAAAATGTAAAACTCTTGTGCTTTAAAAGATACTATTAAGCTACAGGCATGGTGGTACACACTTGTAATCCCAGCACTACAGGATTTGGTGAGTATCACAAGTAATAAATAAATTGGAGCCCACCCCTAACATATTGAGGCCTTGTCTTGAAATTTTTAAAAAACATTTGAAAGGGCTGAGGATGTGGGTCCCAACTAAGGCTCCAACTTCAATCTCCAATACCACTATCAAATTTTTTTTTCTTTAAAAGGACACCATTAATGTAGCAAAACTGCAATTAGGGGGAAATAATATTGTACCAAAATCATATATCAGGTGAATAACTCATATCCAGAAGGAATATATTAACATTTTCTCCCTCCCTTCCTCATATATATCCCTTATAAAGCAAATGTTCTACCAGGCAAACACTGTAAGCAGAAATTTTAAAATGACATTTTATCAGATACATGAAAACCTAATAAACAACCATAGGAAGAGAGGCTCACCATCATGACTCCTTAAGGAAAAACAAACCAAAAACCACAGTAAGACAGGCACTAGGATGGCTATAATGAAAAGAACAGGGCTTGATATACAGCTCAGCAGTAGAGCACACACAGGTAGCATGTATGCAATTTGCTTCCCAGCCATACACACACACACACACATCAAAACTTAGACAGGATTTGAATAATGGTAATTACAATAATAGTACAGCTATTTTTAAAAATCGTGTTTGACAGTGTCTTTAAAAGTTAAACTTACAAGCTGGGCACTGTGACACATTTCTGTAATCCCAGCACTCTGGAAGCTTGAGGCAAGAGAATCACAAGTTCAAGTCCAGACTGGCAAATAAATAACTTAGCAAAATTCTGCCTCAAAATAAAAATGCTATAAAGGGGCTAAAGGGGTTGGGGATGTAGCTCAATGCAAAGGCCCTAAATTCGATCCCTATTATAAACAAATAAATAAATAAACAGGAAAGATCCAGAAATTTCACTTCTGGTGAGATTTGAGCATCTCTCAATCTTTCCGTGTTTGTGATGACCTCAAAGGTTTTGAGAAGTGCTGGTGAGGTGTTCGTAGAATGTCTATCTACTTGAATTTGTCTAATGCTTCTCTCCTAAACCAATGGAAGTTAGGAGGTGTGGCGAGAAGATCTCCGAGGTAATATGCCATTCTCTTCACATTCTTCCAAAAATGCAGCCTATCAGCAAGATTTATAACTGTTTATTCTGACCTCTGGTCACTTAGCTTGCATTATACATCAAGTTTTTTGTTGAAAAGTTACTTTTGTCCTCACATTGTCTTCATAAGACCAAAGTCACCATGTGCATCCCACTCTATGGAGGGTGGATTATGATCTTGCTCCTCAAGAGTACAATGCCTTTATAAACTATCTGGAATTTCGTGCGTGGAATTGTTTCTTCTGTATCACTTATTAATTTGCTCAATGCCATGTATGTCAGCATAGATATGGACATGTGTGTCCATGGACATGTATTTTATACTGAGAGTGATAATTCAATGCTGTTTCACTTAGTTCTTCAAATTGTTCTAATGTTTATTATTAAAAGCTATTTAAAAGTCAAAAAAAAAAGAAAGAAAGAAAGAAATTCCACTTCTGGAACTCAAGGAAAATACAGGTTCACATGAAGACTTGACATAAGCACTGCTAGCAACCTTATTCCAAATAGCCCAAAAGCAGAAACAATTCAATATCCACTGACTGGTGCCCAATAAAAAGAATCATGTTCTGCTACATGCTACATCAATAAACCTCAAATGCACGCAAAGGGAAAAAATGATAAACATAAGAGACTACCTATTATATAATTACATTTATAGAAAATGTCCAGAAAGTATAAACCTAAAGACACACGAGATAATTTGTGGTTGCCTGGGGCTAAGGGTGGAAACAGGGAGTTACTGCAAATGGACATGAGGCATCTTTTTGGAATGATGGAAATGTTCTAAAACTGGACTGTGGTGATGACTGAACAACTCTGCAAGTTTGCTAAAAAATTACTGAATTGTATACTTTAATCAAGTACTTTATGGGATAAATTATGCCTCTTGTAGAATTGTTTGGAATTGTTTAAAAATATACTAAGGGAAAAAATCAAATACATTATACAATGCCATTTATGTGAATATACAGAAAAGAAAAAGTCTAAAGACAGAAAACAGATTTGTGGTTGTCCAAGCCAGGGATGGGAAAAGAGATTAACTTCTGACAGGTACAATGTAATCTCACTGGGATGACAGAAATACCCTAAAACTGCATTACACTATCATATTATACCTCTGGAAAAGTGGTTTAAAAAATAAAGTGGCCAGATCACACTGGAAAACTACTCATTTGTGTGCTTTGTTTTTTGTGGTGCTAGGGCTCAAACCCAAGACCCCACCTACACCTGGCAAGCACAAAACCACTAAACCACACCCCAAGCTGTTTTATTTTATTATATTTTACTTCATTTTGAGAAAGGATCTCAGTAAATTGAAGCTAGCTTTGAGCTTAAAATCCTCCTGCCTCAGCCTCCCAATAGCTAGGATTATAGGTGTGTGCACTGCTGTGCCAAGCCATAGTGGAGTTATTAACATTTGATGAACTATAGATCACTCCATGTGAATGTGATGAAAATAAATCCTTTCCAGATAATTGAGAGACACAATTCACAGATATCCTACGGATCTGAAAACACAAAATTATATTTGGTGTTTTTTGGTTTTGTTTTTTGTTTTTTGCAGAACCAGGGATTGAACTCAGGACCCTGTGCTTGCCAGAAAAGTGCCTATTCTACTGAGCTATCTCCCCAGCCCCTGAAAACACATTATAAAACAGTAAGTCTCTAGAGCCCTTGAAACTCGTGAAACTATATGCCACCTTAACAGAAAAAGCACTAAAAATGATACACCCACAGTTTCACCATTAAATATATATAGTGTATGTGTATATATATATATATATACCTCCTACCAGAAAAGAAAGCAAAATTCCTCTTTAGAAAGGATAACAGGGATCCCTTTACTTTTCTGACATCATTGCTGGTGCTCCCATTTAATCTCCTTCCTTTAACAGAAAACGCTAAGTGAGGTATGCAAAAGCTATCAAGCCAGACTCCCAGCGAAGCTCAACCAGCACATATCAAAGACCCAACATGTATCAAAGACATAGGCCATGAAAAGGCTTAAGAAAAATTATGTTTTTTAAATAAAATCAGACCAAGTTATTTTAAACCAATGGGCAAGTACAATGAAAATAAATAAATTCAATCGACTTTGTTTAAAACACAGACTCAGTGCAATACCCACTGACATCTCTAAGACAGCTAAGGAGGCTTCAGCTGGTCACTGTCATAAAAAACTAATTTTGGAGCCGAATGCTGCCAAAGTAGACAATTCCTCCTCAAATACACAGGTGCTGTTCATGTGAGCTGGATTGCGCTTGTTTAGCTAAACTCACCCCATTTTAATTTCTAAAGTCATTGAGTTATTGTTGTCCAACATTCCCCTCAACCTCAGCCTCCCCCATCATCATATCTGAGAATTACAACCCATGTTTGTGCAAGTTTTGGTCAACTGGTGTTCCTGAACCCCATCCAAATCCATTCACACACAGCACCCAGATGTTCGAGATCACGTTATGCCCCGGTTGAAGTTACTCCTACCTTGATCTCCAGGTTATTTTCTATCAGAACTCGTTTATTTTCTTCTTCCCATCTACCGAAACCTGTTCTTGCTCTCTCGCTCGCTCGTTCGCTCTCTCTCTCTCTCTCTCTCTCCCCCTTCGGAGCCCTTCTCTTTTTTTCTCCTCCTACCTGTTCTATGTCCATCTATTTAGCTAGAAACTCAGTTGCAAGGAGCCAGAGCTGCATCCACTATCTCGCTCAGCGCGGAACCAGCAGCTTCCCCTGCTCCACCAGCCCAGCGATGGCTAGCGCCGCGCAGGCCGGGTTTGGACCCAAGAATGAACCAAAGCTCGCAGTCCCACAATCGTAGTAATACAGTTCTCTGCGCACAATTTCAATATCCCAATTTTCACATAACCTCTGACAGGCCTGCACCACACCTTCACCTCCCTTCTCCACGAGATACATCTGTCACTCGTGCTTAAACATCTGTCGAACCCGCACACAGATACTTAACCAGCTCTCCAGCCGCACCCCACTCCGCCTCACAGGTGCAAGCCTCAAAGCCTCCTCCCTCCTCGCCTGCACGCGCCACCAGCCACTAGCCCGGGACTCCAAACATGCGCACCCACAGACCTCTGACCCACCAGCGCCCCTCAAATGTCTGCGGATGCTGCAACCCTCGAACTCCCGCGGGTCCCTGCGTTGCCGCGTGCCACCCGCCGCCCTGCGCAGCGCCTCCCCCTTTGCGGCGCCAGCGCTCACCGATCACCTCCTGCAGCTCATAATCGTCCCGGTTGATGGACCAGGGCAGGGCGCTCGAATCCTCGGACATGACTGTAGCAGCGGCTCTCGGTCCTCCTCAAACTCGCTGACCTCCCGACTCCTCGCGTGAGTCTCCCCACCCCCAACCGCCGAGCCGCCGCCGCCGCCGCCGAGCCCCCACCAACCGCCTGAGGAACAGCCACGAGTAGGACGGCGCCGGGGCGCGGGGTCACTGTGCGGCACAGCGGCGGCGGCTCACAGGTCCGGCCGACCTTGCTTCCTGCGCTAGGTCCAGGACTTCCCGACCCGGCCCACGTCTCAGCCTCGGCCTCCGCAGCTCCCGCAACAGAACGTTCTCCTCGGCCCAGCCCCTCAGTCCCGCCCTCCACCCGAATCCACCAAGGGCCAAACTTTCCCTTCTCCCTCCACCTGCCGACACGCAGCGCGCTGACGTCACCGCGCCGGTCGCGCCCCGCCTTGGAATCGCCTCTTTCCGCCATATCAAGTGTGTCTGGATAAATTCGACCAAGCAGAAAGCGCACAATAGGAAAGTTGACTATGGAAGGGAAGAAATACCTAGGGAAAGAGTTCAAAAAGGACCACAGAAAGCCAAAGGACAGCAAGAAGTAGCGCAGAAGCAGAGGTAGCCACACTAAACATGGCGACCACGTGAAGGGGGCGGAGCCACTTCTAGCGGCTGAGGCACGTCGCCGTCTCCGTCGTAGCATTTATTGGTTGGTTTGAGAAGGAATGAGAAGGGCAATGGGTGTGTATAGACGTCAGTCGTAAATTAGTCCCTCCTCCGGCCTCTGCGCGCTACTCCGCGACCGTAGAGCTCCAGTCTTTGAAGTCAAGCCCCATGGTCTTCGGTTTGCCAAACTCTTTTCTCCGCGGTGACGTCAGGGCGTTACCGTCACACCCTCGAAACGTGCAAATTGCTCTTCAGGGTGTGGAGAATCCTGAGGGAGCGGCTGGGTGGGGTCCAGGGCCAACTAGGATGCAAGGTCTTGGGCTCTTCTGCGGAGGGAAACCGGAGGTCTGTCCCGTGACCGCATTTTTTTCAAGGCGGAAGTTCTTTGAGGCGCGGCGCCAGCTGTGCGGTACATCTACTCAATGTTGGACTGCGAGCGAGATCTCCCGGGGCTGTGCTGTGGGTATGGAGAGCAGTCTTATGCTCTGGAGGCTTCAGGAAGTTGGGACATTTTTTCTGACTTGCTCTATTGAACAAGTGAGTTTCGTTCCACAAGTGGCAAAAATAAAAAAAAAATAAAAATGAAAAAAGGCAACATGAAGATGGCTAAGTGTGGAAGTCCCCGTTGAGAATACTTCTCAGTCCTCTAGCACTGACTAAGGAAGAGACTTTCATCGGGGCCTCACAAGCACTGAGTTTGCCTCTGCCCAGCCCTCTTGTAAGATAAATTCAAAGACAATGACTTAGGTTTCCACATGGTTGATAAGATTGGGGAACATTTAATAAAAGTGGCATTCCTGTAGATTGTTCAAAGCTAACTTGATTTTATCATGTGGAATTGAGCAGATGAAATATACCAGTCACGACAATAGTGCCAGAGTTCCCCACAGTATGACGCAGGACTTACTATGGAATTGTTTTCAATCATTGTCCTACACTTTCTTTATTGCATGTGCTGCCTTTTTTTTTTTTTTTTTTTTTTTCATCTTTTTACAGGAAGAATGGTGTGGACATCATGTCAGAGAAGAACTATATCTGATGGCAAATATTGGCAATCTCATGGTTTGGTCCGATAGAAAAATCCATAAAGCAGACACAACCTGGAACAGTTGGGCTGTTGGACAATGGACAGACATGGAATTTTTTTTTCACTCCTTTGAAACTATGCATAATGTGGAGAAATTTTGGCAAATATCCTCAATTCTGTCTTCCCCCAAGAAAGAAACTACTCATCTAGTGTAGTTTGGCCCACATTCTGGCTGGCCATGGTCACTATATGTTCATTCATGTGACCTTTTCTGTCTCAGCACACATACCCTTATGAATGAGTGAAACCAGACCTACTCTACAGATCTTGTCATTGCATTTCCCCTACCTCTGACTTTCCTGATGCAGGTTACAATTCCATGATTTAAGTGAGCAGGGAATTGGTACTCCTTTTGATAACAGAAGCTCAAAACATGTTTCATATCCTATGGAGGAGTTTCTAGGTGAAAGTACTGTCATAAATGTCATAAATACAGGGGTGACCAAAGAAGCCTTGACCTCTTTTCATGGACAATATGATTTTAGTAGAGAACAGTAAACAACTAAGAAAATGAATAATTATAAGTTATAATACCTTGCAAGAAAAGGCCAAGTAAAACAAGAAGGGGAACTAACCATGCATAGGCTGTTTTAAACGAGATTCAGAGAGGTTTTAGTTGTTTGAAGCTATTAATAGTTTTATCCTAATTATGCTGCTGGTTCTTGCATATGTGTCTCTTCATAAGACTTTGCAGAGATGGGAAAAGGGAAGTTTTTATAAAAGTTTGGCATATTTTCCCAGAAGAGGGACCTTGTTTTCTCAAGGGAGACCCTGTCTTAGTTTAGATTCCCCCAAGATGTGGTCTCAGCAGTTTAAAAGGTACCCCCAGAAAGAATGGCTATCATAAAGAAATCACCCAACAACAAATGTTGGAGAGGCTGTGGGGAAAAAGGAACCCTTCTCCACTGTCGGTGGGAATGTAGACTG